GCGATACGCCTTCACTTACCACCTCATTGATGATGTTCTTTCATGGGGGCAATTACCTCCTCCTTCAGAGCACTATGGGCTTGAGTGGAAGGAAATAGAGCTGCCTGGTAAACCGTAGGCAGAGAGGGAGAAGAGGACAACAAACGAGGCAGAGAGGGAGAAGAGGCTGGTTGACCTGACCGGAGAAAACCGTAGTAGGGTGCTAGCGAAGTCGTGGTATATATCGTCAAATAGAGCTGTCGGGTAAACTGTAGGCAGAGAGGGAGAAGAGGACAACAAATGAGGGGCTGTGACAAACTGTTTCGTCGGAGTTTCACTGACTCATCAGGAGGCTGAACCCTCAACAGTCTGCAGAATCCCCTTACTGATTACACTGTAAGTGATAATCCACCTTAACCCCGGCTGTAGTTAAGTATCAAGGACTGCGCGGCAACTGATAGCCTGAGGTGGGCACTGACCACTGCCCTCAAGGTACCTGTGACGAAAATCAAAGCAGACCATCACTCACCCACAGCAGATGGCCTGGCAATGAAGGTGGAAGAATGGGAACAATGGAAACCAGAGAGTCTGTTCGCAAGCGAGATCGTGGAGGAGATGGGGGTGGCGAGGAGGAATGCAGCCGTCTGCGGCCAAGCACAGAAAGAGATGAAAGGGGAGCGGATTGGGCAGGATTTCGAAACGAAGGACGTGAGTGTCGGAGAGACTGTGATGTTCTTTGCACTGGAGCTGCGGTAGAGGAAGCTATAGCAGCAAAAAGTATAGTACGGGGGACTGCAGCAGAGGAAGCTGTAGTGAGAACTACAGTAGTGGAAACTCAAAAGTCTGCAGAATCCCCTAACTGATTACACTGTAAGTGATAATCCACTTTAACCCCGGTTGTGGTTAAGCATCGACGACTGCCCGACAACTGATACCTTGAGGTGGGCACCAACCACTGCCCGATACCTTGAGGTGGGCACCAACCACTGCCCGACAACTGATACTTTGAGGTGGGCACCAACCACTTCCCTCAAGGTACCCGTGACGAATATATATTCTTTGCATCAGTCCAATTTTTGCAGATATTTTGAAGGACATGCTTGTTGTCTTACACCTTTTCTTTCAATTGTTGTTTTTACTAATTTCGATTTCGCTCTGGAATGTGTGGGCTGTTCTGCTTTTGCTTGGTCGATTAAACTTAATTTGCAATTTTCTTTTTTTTCAGGAAGAATCCACAACATTTCGTCGATTTCAGCCACCCCCAATAGCATGCATGGCATCCTAAGGCTTCGTTCTCGTCGGTGAAGGGGGCTTGTACATCGTAAATCAAGGCCATCTGCCCCAGCAGTTTTTTTCAATCCACCGTGTCGTGTCACATCCTCGACGCGAGACTCATTCCTCAAGAAGGTGCGAAACACTGCAGGCTACAACTTTTTTTTTTTTTTTTTTTTTTTTTTTTTTTTTTTTTTTTTTTTTCCAGGCTACACCTTTTTTCTTTTACCCTAACGGTAATCATATCTTTTCCAACAGGAACTGTTAAGTTTGTTGTGTACGCTCTGGGGAAAAAAAAAAAAAAAAAAAAAAAAATTGTACGCTCCGGCCACAAGGGGCACGCACGACAGGCTACACCTCACAACTTTCGTTTTTTTCTGCTTCCCCCTCCCTACTCTTGTGAACGACCGGTCTCCGTTTGTGCTTCTTTTTGAAAAAGGGGTAGCGCGCCTATCGTTATTGTACTAACTATCTTCTGAACGACCGGTCTCCGTTTGTGCTTCTTTTTGAAAAAGGGGTAGCGCGCCTATGGTTATTGTACTAACTATCTGATTGCAATGGGGTTCGAACCAATACCTGTTGTTGAATCCAACGCTTGACCCATAAATCGTCGATTTCGGCCCTTACAACTTTGAGCTCCTCCTTGCTTATACGATAAATAAATGCACCCCTTCCATGGCACGGCCTTTCTTTTTTTCTTTTTTTCTTTTTTTCTTCTTTCTTTCCAACAGAACCTCCTGGTTCTGGCTCCTACTCTTCTGGGGAGCACCGTAGGCTGTGTTGTTGAGTCGAACTCTTGACCCATAAATCGTCGATTTAGGGCCTTTTAGGCCCTTGAGCTCCTCCTTGCTCATACGATAAATAAATGCACCCCTTCCATGGCGTGGCCTTTTTTTTTTTTTTTTATAAATAACAGCAGAACCTCTTGATTCTGGCTCCTACCTATTCCCCCGGCAAGTCAATATGGAATGCATGTGGGACTCACGCACGCTCCTCCCCATTATGGTTGGGACTTGGGAGGCCCGAGCGGACGACATTGATTTCTTCCCTGAGGAAAGGATGTACCACCCCTCACCCCTGCCTGCGTTAGCTTGCGCTACGTAATTTTACTACCGTCTTCACCCGAATGGAACACCTGGTCATTATAGCCGTATTTGGTGCAACGTCCAGTCTACATACAGCGATAATGACCGGGCGTTCTATTCGGGCGAAAACGGTGGCCCTTGCTAATCTGACCGACCCCAGTCCTGCTCCTCTCAGCTGATGCGCTGCCGGGTCGGTGCTTTATGCTCGAGGGGTCTGGGACTCATATATATGGGCTCTTGAAGTCACTAAATTTCGTCTAAACCCCCCTAAACCCTACTTGCCCTGAATCTGTCTAAGCCCCAAATCGTTGTCAAATGTGACCTAGGTTATCGCCCAGTGTGTTCTCCTGTCTAAGCCCCATTTGTGTCTACTGGTCCAGCGGTCCAATTGTGTCGTCAGGAGTATGGCGTGGCCTATTCGTGAAGCAAATCTTGTTAACGATTGGCTGGTCCTCCACAACTTCGATAGAGATGCCTGAAAAAAAAAAAATTGTGCAGATGCTTCAAAATTTGGAACAGATGCATGCGCATCCAAGGACGTATCTGAAGCCGACGAAATTGGCCTAGCAGGCCTACAGTCTTCCCCCGAATACAACGTACGGTCATTATAGCTGAATTTAGACCGAAAGATGCACCAAATTCGGCAATAATGACCGTGCGTTGTATTCGGGGGAAGACTGTAGCAGGCTAGCACAGTTGGCACACCCTTGAAATAGCAGGAGCTGTTGTTGAAATACAGACAGACAGAAGTCTGAATCCAGATGCAGTCGAGTCCAGATGCAATCGAATCCAGATGCAATTGGATGAACCAAAAAAAAGTGTTGTAGCTGGCACTGGATGAAGAAAATGGACCCTGATCCAGATGCAATCGTTTGAACATAAAATGCATGCATGGCATCGCATGCTGATGTCATTTGAGACGCTGATGCCGAAATCAGATGGCACGGGATAGAAGGGTGAGGTGGGGGGAAGTGCCATTCAAGGAACAAACTTTACCGAATGCATTGGAAACTGTGACGAAAGGCTGTATTGTTTTTGTTTTTTGGACTTTGTTTTCCCTTTAAAAATTTGGACCATTTCTCGATTTATGCGTGTCATCCTTGCGCAGAGGAGGGGCCATGCTAACCAATCTTCTCAGTATCGTTCCAATTTTAACAGATGTCCCGAAGGACACGAAAGGCTGTATGTATTATACGATGGAACAGACTTACCGATTGTGTCCCAAACTGTAACAAAGGTCCCGAACTGTAAATGAGTGCCAAATAGTAACAGATGGGAATGGGAGAAGTGCGATCACATGCCCTTCATTGCAAAGCGGAGGCATGCCCAAGAAAAAAACACGTCGAATTTTGTGTCGAACCCTAAACCCAAAAATCGATGTCCTCCCTTGGATGTGGTGCGAAATTGAGAGGCATGGAGTTGATGCATCGGTCAATCAGCTTTTTTGTATGATCGTTTAGCCAAAAAAAAAGAAAAAAAAAACTCTGTGGGCCTTGTTGTCCTACCTACCCCCCCCCCCCAGGCCATGACCGGCACGATAAAGAAAGGACTGGATCGCGTGGTGGTAGAGTCGATCCACAGTCGATCAGGGATTTGCAGGTCGCCCTGCCTACCTGAGGGCGAGCATACAACAACAATGCATCCAAATTCTTGCACCACTTTGTGAGATTTTTGCATCCCACCTTTTTGCAGTATGTCGTTGAAGATCATCGCCCACGTCTCCCCTGATGTGCGAATGCAGGGTTGGTGCTGCAGCACACTACAGTCTTCAGTCGAATAGAACGCCCGGTCTTTACCGCTGTACTTTGGGCAGCATTCAGTCCAAATACAGCAATAAGGACCAGGCATTCTGTTCAGGTGAAGAAGGTAGTACTCTAAAATAATGTGCTTCCAACACGGCAATAATGCAGGTTTAGTCTTTAGAGTACTGCCATCATCTTACACGAATAGAACACCCGGTCATTAACGTTGTATGTAGAGTTTGAATGCTCTGCCCATCTTATTCGAATAACGACAGGGCAACAATTGCGACTTCCTCGTTGGTGGAACGGGTAACCAATCAAAATCCCCTGGCTGGAGAGTGTTCGTTCAGCGAAGCCTTTTCCCATGGATTGAGGAGAAGAAACTACCGGCGCTAGTGTGGTGACGGTCGCTGGTACCATCAGATGTCAAGCTGTAGGTGCCCATGAGAGACGTTGTCCTAGTGGTGGGACTAACCGGACAGAGAACAATCATCAAGATGCATGAGAGGATTGGCAACTTTCCTAATATGGACAGTCATGTGTCATATGCGACGAGGAGGAGGTCGCCATCGCTGCATGCACAGCTTCTTCTGAGTGAAGAGGGGTGTGGTCATAATCCCACGCACAGGCCTAAGTCGCATGCGGCATGTACTTGCAGCACAGAACAAGTGCCCTGAGGGGGGGGTCATAATCCAACCCACAGGCCGAAGCTGCATGTTCTTTGGTTGCAGTGGGAGGGGGGTCTGTGCCAATGTGCGACTTGGACCTGTGAGAGGGGTGAGGTCATAATCCCACGCACGGTAGCTGTGCGCCGCTGGCTTTTCGACGGCTGTGCCCATTGTGCGAATGGTAGCTGTTCGCCGCTGGCTTTTTGACGGTAATCCCAAGAACAAGTGCCGCTTGTTCGAACCAACCTTTCCTCTCCTCATTAATGGGCGAGCAAAACTCTTTTTGATGGCTGTGCCCATTTTGCGAACAGTAGCTGTTCGCCGCTGTGGAACTTGGATTACCATTACGGCGACGACTGTGCATCAGTAGGGCAAAGTAACTAACCTGTCGTACGACGACGGTCTTAATGCAGCTCACGTTCGCTGTTGTGGGTGAGCAATCGAACACTTGGTGCGTGCTGTCGAGTTGTATCCATTTTTTGTAACTTGCTGCCATTTGCTGGGGGGAAAAGTAACCAGACTGCTGCCGCCCCCAGAATAGAAGGAGCCAAGTTTCATGATGGCTTCTGCTTCACAATGATAGGAAGAGCCAACAGCAGCGGTTCCCCGGGCACAAGGAAGGCTGCCAGCTTCACAGCCTTGTCCAGTTGTCGAGAATGCCGTTGCATCATCTCTTTTCCTCTGTGTTTGGTTTTATTAGTCTGCTGCCGCTACTTCTGAATCCGCTTCTGTGCTGCAGCCTTATGAACATGCAGCTTGTACTTGCCGCACAGGGCCGAAGTCGCATAGCATGTACTTGCAGCACAGGCGGAAGTCGCGTGCAGCTTGTACTTGTGCAGCACAGGTCCAAGTCACACACTGGCACAGACCCCCCTCCCGCTGCGGCTGTGGCTGCCAAATCCACTTCTTGTCACCCACAAGGAGTGCAACTTGTTGACGGG